ATAGACACACGCCTCTAGACACACGCCTCTCACATAGACACACGCCTCTAGACACACGCCTCTAGACACTCGCCTCACACATAGACAAACGCCTCTAGACACACGCCCTCTAGACACACGCCTTACACATAGACACACGCCTCTAGACACACGCCTCTAGACACACGCCTCTAGACACACGCCTCTAGACACACGTCTCTAGACACACGCCTCTAGACACACGCCTCTCACATAGACACACGCCTCTAGACACACGCCTCTAGACACTCGCCTTACACATAGACAAACGCCTCTAGACACACGCCCTCTAGACACACGCCTTACACATAGACACACGCCTCTAGACACACGCCTCTAGACACACGCCTCTAGACACACGCCTCTAGACACACGCCTCTAGACACACGTCTCTAGACACACGCCTCTAGACACACGCCTCTAGACACACGCTTCTAGACACACGCCTCTCACATAGACACACGCCTCTAGACACACGCCTCTAGACACACGCTTCTAGACACACGAATCTAGACACACGCCTTTAGACACACGCCTCTAGACACACGCCTCTAGACACACGCCTCTAGACACACGCCTCTAGACACACGCCTCTAGACACACGCCTCTAGACACACGCCTCTAGACACACGCCTCTAGACACACGCCTCTAGACACACTCCTCTAGACAAACGCCTTACACATAAACACACGCCTTTAGACACACGCCTCTAGACACACGCCTCTAGACATACGCCTTACACATAGACACACGCCTCTAGACACACGCCTCACACATAGACACACGCCTCTAGACACACGCCTTTAGACAAACGCCTCTAGACACACGCCTTACACATAGACACACGCCTCTAGACAGACGCCTTTAGACACACGCCTTACACATAGACACACGCCTCTAGACACACGCGTTTAGACACACGCCTCTAGACACACGCCTTTAGACACACGCCTCTAGACACACGAATCTAGATACACGCCTCTAGACACACGCCTCTAGACACACGCCTCTAGACACACGCCTCTAGACACACGCCTCTAGACACACGCCTCTAGATACACGCCTCTCACATAGACACACGCCTCTAGATACACGCCTCTCACATAGACACACGCCTCTAGACACACGCCTCTAGACACACGCCTCTAGACACACGCCTCTAGACACACGCCTCTAGACACACGAATCTAGACACACGCCTTTAGACACACGCCTCTAGATACACGCCTCTAGACACACGCCTCTAGACACACGCCTCTAGATACATGAATCTAGACACACGCCTTTAGACACACGCCTCTCACATAGACACACGCCTCTAGATACACGCCTCTCACATAGAAACACGCCTCTAGACACACGCCTCTAGACACACGCCCTACACATAGACACACGCCTCTAGACACACGCCTTACACATAGACACACGCCTCTAGACACACGCCTTTAGACACACGCCTTACACATAGACACACGCCTCTAGACACACGCGTTTAGACACACGCCTCTAGACACACGCCTTTAGACACACGCCTCTAGACACACGAATCTAGATACACGCCTCTAGACACACGCCTCTAGACACACGCCTCTAGACACACGCCTCTAGACACACGCCTCTAGATACACGCCTCTCACATAGACACACGCCTCTAGATACACGCCTCTCACATAGACACACGCCTCTAGACACACGCCTCTAGACACACGCCTCTAGACACACGCCTCTAGACACACGCCTCTAGACACACACCTCTAGACACACGAATCTAGACACACGCCTTTAGACACACGCCTCTAGACACACGCCTCTAGACACACCCTCTAGATACACGCCTCTAGACACACGCCTCTCACATAGACACACGCCTCTAGACACACGCCTCTAGACACACGCCTCTAGACACACGAATCTAGACACACGCCTTTAGACACACGCCTCTAGACACACGCCTCTAGACACACGCCTCCAGACACACGCCTCTAGATACACGAATCTAGACACACGCCTTTAGACACACGCCTCTCACATAGACACACGCCTGTAGATACACGCCTCTCACATAGACACACGCCTCTAGACACACGCCTCTAGACACACGCCTTACACATAGACACACGCCTCTAGACACACGCCTCTAGACACACGCCTCTAGACACACGCCTCACACATAGACACACGCTTCTAGACACACGCCTCTAGACACACGCCTCTAGACACACGCCTCCAGACACACGCCTCTAGATACACGAATCTAGACACACGCCTTTAGACACACGCCTCTCACATAGACACACGCCTCTAGATACACGCCTCTCACATAGACACACGCCTCTAGACACACGCCTCTAGACACACGCCTCTAGACACACGCCTCTAGACACACGCCTCTAGATACACGAATCTAGACACACGCCTTTAGACACACGCCTCTCACATAGACACACGCCTCTAGATACACGCCTCTCACATAGACACACGCCTCTAGACACACGCCTCTAGACACACGCCTCTAGACACACGCCTCTAGACACACACCTCTAGACACACGAATCTAGACACACGCCTTTAGACACACGCCTCTAGACACACGCCTCTAGACACACCCTCTAGATACACGCCTCTAGACACACGCCTCTCACATAGACACACGCCTCTAGACACACGCCTCTAGACACACGCCTCTAGACACACGAATCTAGACACACGCCTTTAGACACACGCCTCTAGACACACGCCTCTAGACACACGCCTCCAGACACACGCCTCTAGATACACGAATCTAGACACACGCCTTTAGACACACGCCTCTCACATAGACACACGCCTCTAGATACACGCCTCTCACATAGACACACGCCTCTAGACACACGCCTCTAGACACACGCCTTACACATAGACACACGCCTCTAGACACACGCCTCTAGACACACGCCTCTAGACACACGCCTCACACATAGACACACGCTTCTAGACACACGCCTCTAGACACACGCCTCACAGACACACGCCTCTAGACACACGTCTCTAGACACACTCCTCTAGACACACGCCTCTAGATACACGCCTCTCACATAGACACACGCCTCTAGACACACGCCTCTAGACACACGCCTTACACATAGACACACGCCTCTAGACACACGCCTCTAGACACACTCCTCTAGACACACGCCTCACACATAGACAAACGCCTCTAGACACACGTCTCTAGACACACGCCTCTAGACACACGCCTCTAGACACACGCCTCTAGACACACGCCTCTAGACACACGCCTCTAGACACACGCCTCTAGACACACGCCTCACACATAGACACACGCCTCTAGACACGCGCCTCTAGACACACGCCTCTAGACACACGCCTCACACATAGACACACGCCTCTAGACACACGCCTCTAGACACACGCCTCTAGACACACGCCTCTAGACACACGCCTCTAGACACACGCCTCTAGACACACGCCTCTAGACACACGCCTCTAGACACACGACACTAGACACACTCCTCTAGACACACGCCTCACACATAGACAAACGCCTCTAGACACACGCCTCACACATAGACACACGCCTCTAGACACACGCCTCTAGACACACGCCTCACACATAGACACACGCCTCTAGACACACGACTCTAGACACACTCCTCTAGACACACGCCTCACACATAGACAAACGCCTCTAGACACACGCCTCACACATAGACAAACGCCTCTAGACACACGTCTCTAGACACACGCCTCTAGACACACGCCTCTAGACACACGCCTCTAGACACACGCCTCTAGACACACGCCTCTAGACACACGCCTCTAGACACGCGCCTCTAGACACACGCCTCTAGATACACGCCTCACACATAGACACACGCCTCTAGACACACGCCTCTAGACACACGCCTTTAGACACACGCCTCTAGACACACGCCTCTAGACACACGCCTCTAGACACACGCCTCTAGACACACGCCTCTAGACACACGCCTCTAGACACACGCCTCTAGACACACGCCTCACACATAGACACACGCCTCTAGACACGCGCCTCTAGACACACGCCTCTAGACACACGCCTCACACATAGACACACGCCTCTAGACACACGCCTCTAGACACACTCCTCTAGACACACGGCTCACACATAGACACAAGCCTCTAGAATCCCAACTTTAGACACCCATCAGTACATCATTAAACTATGACATCTTTTATCATATTAAATTTAAGCCGAATTTATTCTCTCGTGACCAGGTATGATATTGACTGATATGATTGGACTGTTTCGAGATGATTTGACTAATTTGTTGATAAGATAATTAACAGCATTCCGACATATTTTAGCATCATGACGTTTGTTGGAAGTTACATTTTGTTGTCTGACTCTGGGATGTTGTATTATCTGACTGTAGAATGTTGTATTATCTGACTGTAGAATGTTGTATTATCTGACTTGAAAGAGCTTCTGAAAGTTTTCTACCCATGTTGGCGCCCCTGAGGGTCTTCGCCACTTCGCAGCCCCATAGCTACAACTCTGCCTGTTTAATATACTTATATTGCGTAACCCAACCCTCCCCCACGCCCCCCGGGCTGCCTTGTCTGGAATCCCTGCAAGTGTTCGTCATATGAAACACATGGAAACGAGAAGCGGGACGTTTGAAAAAAAAATCGATTTGGCTAAATACATGAAAGCAAAGTGGTAGATGTATAGACCTGCTGTAGACCTAGAATCTAGAACCTAGGTCTATACTTAACTATACTGGACTGACTAGAACCTAGGTCTATACTTAACTATACTGGACTGAAAGTATAACAACAGCTCTTGATAAACTGTAAACAACCATCACATCTACTAGATCTAGATCTATGTGATATATCAACCCAATTGGCTAAGATAGCAACTAGCGTAACGTAACCAAGCTAACCCTAACTCTACAAACCCTCTACAAACCCTAACCTCTACAATCCCTGTACTAACCTGTATCCATCGCTCTGTCTCATGTAAAGCCAGTTCCATAAAAAATTCCATCTCCTCATCTTCGCGAAACCTGACAACATAATCTTCTTCTACCTCTTCAGACGACATCATTCACTCATTCAATAATCAACACCTAATTTCAACTAGCAAAATTAGGGTGCATATTTCATCTTCATGTAATCCAGAGATTATGTCAAGAGACGGTTTGAGAGAGTGAAGATTTAGTTTGCAAGAAAACAACTGAAACAATTTCACTGCATCCGACACCGCGTTGTTGACACACACACACACACCATCAGTTGGAGAACTAGGTCATGCGAGTTGTCAATTCACAAAGCTGGAGCGGACCTGTGCAATGAATGGCGTGTGTTCTGCTGTTTACTGGGGCCTAGTTTGTTCACCTTACGGGCCCTATCACGTGACCTTTACTGTCACACTTTGCTGTGCTCTGTGCCGGATGAGCATGCGCCGGTGAGAAAGACGATAGAGTGCGGGCTGTGGTGTGTGGTGTGTGGTGAGGTCCAGTGGACGGTGTGTGGTGTGTGGTGAGGTCCTGTGGACGGTGTGTGGTGAGGTCTGGTGGACGGTGTGTGGTGAGGTCTTGTGGGCGGTGTGTGGTGTGTGGTGAGGTCTGGTGGACGGTGTGTGGTGTGTGGTGAGGTCTGTTGGACGGTGTGGTGAGGTCTGGTGTGTGGTGTGTGGTGAGGTCTGGTGGATGGTGTGTGGTGAGGTTCTGTGGATGGTGTGTGGTGAGGTTCTGTGGACGGTGTGTGGTGAGGTCCTGTGGACGGTGTGTGATGAGGTCCTGTGGACGGTGTGTGGTGAGGTTCTGTGGATGGTGTGTGGTGAGGTTCTGTGGATGGTGTGTGTGTGGGTGAGTGATTTGATGTACTTCTACCGGCTTTGTTCCTGTCGTATTACGAAATCTAATGAAGAAATGTATTCATAAATTTAATGAAGAAATGTATTCATAAATCTAATGAAGAAATGTATTCATAAATCTAATGAAGAAATGTATTCATAAATCTAATGAAGAAATGTATTCATAAATCTAATGAAGAAATGTATTCATAAATCTAATGAAGAAATGTATTCATAAATCTAATGAAGAAATGTATTCATAAATCTAATGAAGAAATGTATTCAAACTTGCCTCAACTACATTGTTAGCATTCCCAGCGCACCTTTAGACATGGTATTTTGTAGATGTGTGTGTGTGGGGGGAGGTGAAGGTGGAACTGCAACCTACATACACAGAAATCATATAGCTTAAATTCACATTATTAATACTCTTCGTGGTTCGCTTGACTGAGCGACCTATTTTATTCTCCATAGCGCCCACATGTAGATCTAGATAGCGATACAGTATCAGGGGACGTAATGCTAGCAGTCAAACTGTAACTAAACATTGAAATGGTTGCCACATCAATATCACACATCTGGTGCCAAAAGGTTTTTGAAATATTTCCAATTAGACATGTCACCAGGGTGGAAAGACCGATGCCATAAAAAGTCTACAGAGAGCACTGTGATCAAGACATTCACGATTAAATAGCATACAGAGAGCACTGTGATCAAGACATTCACGATTAAATAGCATACAGAGAGCACTGTGATCAAGACATTCACGATTTAATAGCATACAGAGAGTACTGTGATCAAGACATTCACGATTAAACAACATACAGAGAGCACTGTGATCAAGACATTCGCGATTAAATAGCATACAGAGAGCACTGTGATCAAGACATTCACGATTTAATAGCATACAGAGAGTACTGTGATCAAGACATTCACGATTAAACAACATACAGAGAGCACTGTGATCAAGACATTCGCGATTAAATAGCATACAGAGAGCACTGTGATCAAGACATTCACGATTAAATAGCATACAGAGAGCACTGTGATCAAGACATTCACGATTAAATAGCATACAGAGAGCACTGATATTAACGCATTGTTGGCAGCCGACGTCATTAAATGGCGGTAGATGATGTCGTTCGTCGTCTCGACACAAGGCAAAACTTGTCGTCGTGTCATAACTCTGGCCTGAACAGATCCTAGGAGAGCTCATGATCCAGGGTCTATGAGCCGTTCCCGACCACCCACCTCAGATATGAGCCGTTCCCGACCACCCACCTCAGATATGAGCCGTTCCCGACCACCCACCTCAGATAGACTCACGTTAGGGTTAGTAATGGTGCTAAATACAATATCCTTTCAAATAACGAAGTCAATAAAACAGGTGAACTCTACTTCTACTCTATGTCGACATTAGATAACATCAGTATGACAATTTAGATTACATCTGTATGACGATATAAGATATGTTTATTATCTGTATGTCATGATTAGATAACATCATCTGTATGACGATATAAGATATGTTTATTATCTGTATGTCATGATTAGATAACATCATCTGTATTTAGACCAGAAGCTTGGGGCGAACTTTCAATTTCAATGTATATACTAGCCGTCCCAACCAGGACCTGCACTGGCCTCTGTGAAAAAGCTATCTGTAAAGGATCATCGCTTTTGTGTTTATTACGCAGCATATACCGGGCATTGAGTTTGACAAACGAACACATAACCCTAAACCCAACTCTAACTTTAAACTTAACACTAACATAAACCAATCGAAACCAAAACACTAAAACTAACGCAAGCCTAACACAAACACAAAAGCAAACGCAAAGTCAAACAAAACGCAAATACAAACATAAACGCAAACGCAGATGCAAACACCAAAGGAAACACAAACACTAATATAAACACAAATAAAAACGCAAACACTAACGGAATTACAATTAACACAAACACAAAAGCAAAAACAAACAAAAACACAACACAAATTCAAACATAAAATTAAATGCAAACAAAAACACAAAAATAAACGCAAATACAAACGAAGACGCAAATCTACACGCAAATAATAACGCAGAACATAAACATAGATTTAAGTGCAAACAGAAACGCATAGTGCTCACAGCATAGCACGTGGCAATGAATCGCACCGGAACCGCCTGATTCAATTTAGTGAACGACTGTAACTTCAACAGGCGCAGCCGCCTGCGCCCCCCGTCTATTGCGTGACCCGAAACGCCCCGGGATCCCCTGCGAGCACTATGGCGCCTACTTTTGTTTTAAATAAAGGATATACACTACAAACACAATGGGCAACAATAATCGTTGAGTACAGGGTGCAATTTGGCGCAATGTCGCTTAAGTTCGTAATAAACAGTTTGATAGACAATCGATAAGATAAGCTTTTTAATCAGCGCGAAAGACTATGCATAAGATTGGGTTTTAGAGTCGTTCACTAAACATAATCAAGCGCTTCTTAATTACAAGATTTTATATAAAAAATTCCCCAAAAATTAGAAAATAAATTATACACTACTAATTAAATAACTAAAGAAAAGCGTGGGTCTCTTCCTAAACATTAGTAAAGGTATCCAATAGATACTAAAGTGACCCACACTTTTCTTTATAGTTATTTAAATAGTAGTCCATAATTTATTTTCTACTTTTTAGTGCATTAGTACATAAAAGCTTGTTATTAAAACGTTTTAATGAATTTTTGTTTCAGTACTTTAAATGTTTTAAATTTAGAGTTGCGTGACTAAAAACCATGCGCACCTAATGAACGTGATGACGCGTGTCTAAAAGTGCGGAATAGTTTGATGAGACAGCCTACTAATTAGGACAAATTAAAAATTAATTCATAAAAAATTAATTTGGCAACCAATTAAGTCAAGTTTAATGTCATGTTGCACACTTTTCATGTCTTGACCTACGTGCCAACGTCGAACCGTAAGTAGTATATTAGGTCCCTTTTGGGTCGTTTTTTTGGCGGAGCAGGATGTGGGGAGGAGCAATGACATATAGTAAAATACTCGGGAGCAGGATGTGGGGAGGGCGCAAAGAGATATAGCAAAATACTCCCAGCCTGGCGCATCGGGATGTGGAGGGTGGGTGAGCAGGATGCGCAGAGGGCGCAAAGACATATAGTAAAATACAACGCCAACTGGGGTTGGCGGAGCAGGAGGGTGGGTCACCTTTTGGTGACCTTGTGACGTAATCATTGACCTTGTGACGTAATTAGTGACTTTGTGACGTAATCACTGACCTAGTTACGTAATTTTAATGCGTTTTTTAATTAGATTTAATGAGTTTTTAAAATTTTAATTAATTTTTTATTAACGAGTTACGTAATTTGATTTTAATTTTTTAAATTTTTAAATTTTTAATTTTATTTTATAATTAGTTTAATTTTTATTAACTAGTTACGTAATTTGATTATTTGTTTGATTTAAATTGTTTAATTTGTTTGTTTACTTGTTGTTTGATTTAATTACTTTGTTTATATTGTGTAATTTTTATTAACGAGTTACGTAATTGGATTTTATTTTTTTAAATTTTTAAATTTTTAATTTTGTTTTATAATTAGTTTAATTATTATTAACTAGTTACGTCATTTGATTTTTTAATTTTTTAAATTTTTAAATTTTAAATTGTTTACTTTGTTTGTTTAATTTGTTTAATTTATTTATTTGATATATTTCTTTTCTCTGATGTATGGTATTTTAAAATAAAAGACTAACACTAGTGTGTACTTTGTATAGGGACCATTCTACAACACAACGCTAACGTATACTTTGTGTCATGACTTCCATTTAACCAGCCGTGTAACACCTGTTACGTATCGATTCACCAGCTATCCTTTGTTTTTGACACGCGCTCCCCGTTTTTTTAATGGGAATGTATTGATCGCACCCACTGACCATCAGTATGATGGTCCACCTAATTAAATTTGGTCACGCATCACCGAGTTTTCCCCGCTAGGTTTGACAGGTCATGATGATTTATGTGTTGTTCACGGAAGCGAACACCGTAGGGTCCGGTGTTTAATGAGGTCCATTAAGCGCGTCTCCGCGTTAAGTGTGGTAACAGCTGTACCACTTTAATTGATTTTTCCCCGCTCGGTTACTAGAGTGGGAAGCCATCACGTAACAGCTGGTGCTGTAATTACGCTGAGTAAGGACTTTGGTTGTAACTATTCGCTTATAGCGAGGGTCAGCGAAAACAAAATATATATTTAAGGGTTGGAATTTTCTTTCAACCACCGTTAAATCAGGTTTTGAGACGAAACGAAGTCTCGGTAGGTTCGTGTTTTTTAACGGGCGACAGGGCGACTTGGTGCGTTGGTACGTGAGGTATGCGGGGTAGACATGTTTTTTACAAGTCTGGAAAAGTAATTAAGTTTTTTATGACCGTTCCGATTTTCTTTTGATCTGACCACCATTTGACCACCCTGAGCCAGATAAATTTAACAAATGTTCAATACATAGTCGCTTATAGTAACAT